TGAGGACTCATGAGAAGAACTATCATACACATGATTTAGAACTTGTTGCAGTTGTTTTTATGTTGAAAATTTGGAGGCATTATCTTTATGGTTCTAGATATGAAGTGTTTAGTGACCATAAGAGCTTAAAGTATCTATTTGATCAGAAGGAATTGAATATGAGACAACGAAGATGGTTAGAGTTGTTAAAGGATTATGATTTTGGTTTAAATTATCATCCAGGAAAAGCGAATGTGGTAGCTGACACATTGAGTCGAAAGACTTTACATATGTCAATAATGATGGTTAAAGAGTTGGAATTAATTGAACAGTTCAGAGATATGAGCTTAGTTTGCGAGGTGACACCGCAGAGTTTTATGTTGGGAATGTTGAAGATTAATAATGATTTTCTGGATAGTATCAGAGAAGCTCAGAAGTTAGATGTGAAACTGGTAGATTCGGTGGTTGGGATCGATCAGTCTGAGAATAATGATTTTAAGTTAGATGGGCAAGGTGTGTTGAGATTTTGTAATCGGATTTGTATTCCTGATGATGCAGAGATGAAGAAAGTGATCCTTGAAGAGAGTCATAGAAGTGAGCTGAGTATTCATCCGGGAGCTACAAAGATGTATCAGGATTTGAAGAATTTGTTTTGGTGGCCTGGGATGAAGACTGATGTGGCTCGGTTTGTGTATGCATGTTTGACTTGTCAGAAGTCGAAAGTTGAACATTAGAAGCCTGCAGGGTTGATGCAGCCGTTAGAAGTTCCATAATGGAAATGGGATAGCATTTCGATGGACTTTGTGACGGGGTTACCTAATACTTTAAGAGGACATGATTTGATTTGGGTGATTATTGATAGGATTACAAAGTCGGCTCATTTTATTCCTATTAACATCAGTTTTCCAGTGTCGAAGCTGGCAGAGATTTAAACTAATGTAATTGTGAAGCTGGATGGTGTTCCTTTGTGCATTGTGTCGGATAGAGATCTGAGGTTTACTTCTGATTTTTGGAAGAGTTTGCAAGGAGCGTTGGGTTCTAAGTTGAGGTTGAGTTCGGCGTATCATCCTCAGGCGGATGGTCAGACAGAAAGGACTATTCAATCGTTGGAAGATTTGTTGAGAGCATGTGTTCTTGATCAGGGAGGTTCGTGGAATACTTATCTTCCGTTGATAGAGTTCACGTATAATAACAGTTACCATTCTAGTATTGGGATGGCGCCTTTCAAAGCGTTGTATGGTCGGAGATGTAGAACTCCTTTATGTTGGCATGAATCTGGAGAAAGTGTGGTGCTTGGACCTAAACTTGTTCGTGAGGCTACTGAGAAGGTGAAGTTGATTCGAGAAAAGATGAAAGCTTCCCAAAGTAGACATAAGAGTTATCATGACAAGCGAAGGAATGACTTAGAATTTCAAGCAGGTGACCATGTGTTTTTGAGAGTTACACCTGTAACTGGTGTTGGACGAGCATTGAAGTCTAAGAAAATCACTTCTCGTTTCATTGGTCCGTATCAGATTTCGGAAAGAGTTGAGAATGTGGCTTATAGAGTGGCTTTACTGCCTAATCTTTCGAATTTGCATGATGTGTTTCATGTGTCATAACTCCGGAAGTATATTTCAGATCCATCTCATGTGATTCATATGGATGATGTGTAAGTACGGGATAATCTTACTGTTGAAATGATGCATGTACGAATTGCGGGTCGTGAAATGAAGACTCTGAGAGGCAAATAGATTGCTTTGGTGAAAGTAGTCGGGTTAGGAGCTGCTGGAGAAAGCATGACTTGGGAGTTGGAAAGCAAGATGCGGGACTCCTATCCTGAGTTTTTCGAATGAGGTAAGTTTTCGAGGACGAAAATATTTTAAGTGCGGAAGAGTTGTAACGCCCGTAATTTAATTAATTATTTATTTAATTAAATTATTTTTGGATTATTTGTGAAGTTGCGAGATGTTGAGAATTATTGATATGAGTTGTTGGATTATTACTAATTAATTAATTAGTTTATTAATAATAATTATAATGTTTGAATTAAGGAAATATTTATATAGTGATGGACTTAAGTTATTGGTTGCAAGTAGTAAAGTGGGGGGGGGGGGTGTAGGTTAGGCCCACTAGGATTGATATACAAGGCTGAGCTGACACAAGGAATTGTTTTAGTTGGAGAATAAGAAGCCATGTATGTTGCTCGGAAGAGTTGCACAGAGAGAGAAGCAAGCTGCCCGGTGACGAGCAGAATGAAGCAAAGTCATCGGCTAGAGTTTTTGGTTGAGCGACCTTCAATCCAGGTAAGGGTGGGGTTCTGACCTTATAATGGAATTTATGATGTTTGTTATGGAGAATTAGTCGTAATTGTGATTGTTGCCCGTGATGTTGCTGAACTTGTTAAGGGAAGATGCATGTTCTGTTATGTTGTGGATGTTTTGAGTTACGTGACTTCCGGTTTAATTGATGTGTAGGTTAGGTCGTGATGGTCGTTAGGATGTTAGGTTATTCCGAGCGATTGGTAGGAAAATGGGTAAATTGTTGAAGTGGTCGTTTTAGGGAGTTTCTGCGTGACTGTCTTGTATGTTGATGAATCTGTTGATAGGAAATATAGTTGTCTGTTACTGTGTTACTCCGAGCGGTTGGCCGGAAGTTATGAATTATAGTGGTGTGGTCGTTAAGACGTTGTATCGTGCTTGTGTTGTTGGCCGAATTAGTGGTCGGGAAGGATGCTGAAGAAGTAGGTATCGAGAGGCATTTTAGGCTGCGAGGTGTGTCAGGAATTATGTGTTAGATTTCGAGCAGAATTAGATTGCAGGACATGTCGAGGAGCATAGGTTGGTCGTTACCCTATTTTCCCCTGTGCGTGTCGAGGAGTATGGATTATTCGTTAGGTTGTCCTAGTTGTTATGCATGTCGAGGGGCACGTGGTTCCCTATCCCTTTTGCCCGTACATGCTGTGTTTTGGTCTTTACCAGTGCTGTGTGAAATTATTGTTAAGTTATTGTTTGATTATGTTAATGATTGAATCGTTGATTGATGTGATAGACTTATGGCCAATGTTGATTTATGTTGGGTTGTTGTGATGTTGCGAGTTTTTGTTGATAATGAGAAGTTGCAAGGAATTTACATGATGATGAATTACCTTTATTTATTGACAATAATGGTGATGTGGGCTTATGCCTTGCGATGATGATGATTGTTATGAATATGTGATAGTGCATTCATATACATTTGCATACTCTGTGATGGCATGGATTGGTAAACTGCGAATAAGGCTTATGCCTTGTTGATGCCTCTATTTATTGGCTGATTTTAAGATGAGAGTTCTGCTCTAATGGTACCACATGAATTCACATAGTATTGAGTCACATTCCAAGTAGTATGATTGAGCTGTTGTGTTGATGAATTAATTGTTGTATTTTGTTGATAGCCTGTTGTGATTGTTGTTGTTTATAAGTTGTGAAGTGGTGATTTTTGCATGAACTGATTCCAATATAATAATTATCATGCGTTCTATTATAGTGTTCGATATCTCACCCCTTCTGTTTAAATATTACCCTTATGTTGGTAACATGCAGGTAATCCAGAGTGAAGGTGGTTGACCTTCAGTAGTTCGAGTCGGTCTCATTGCTCTGATACGTAACACACGGGGATGAACACTTGTTGTTTTAGTATTTGTTATTTCAGTTGCTTGAACTTTAAATTGATTGTTGTTAAGTGCTTGTTATTCAAAAGTTGCTTTCATGTTGGATAAAGATGTTATTATGATTCCGCTGTTCAAGTTGTTGATTTAAAAGATTAATTTATTTTGCTGTTGGTTCATCCGAAGTTTTAAAATGTTATGTATCAATGTTGAATGCAATGGTTTTTAAGTTGAATTTATGGCATCCTGATTCAGTTGTATAATTTTTATAACTCTGATTTACATTTATATTATCGGGTAGAATTTGGGTGTTACATTCACTTATTTTGTTTCACTTACGAGTCATTCATCTGGAGTATTATGAGTTGTTCAGAATATAAATAATTGTATTTTTAGTTAAATTTTGAAAATAAATAATATTTTTTGTCTAACGTTTATTTATTTTATTTTAGAAGTATTGAATTTTTTTTTCAAAATAATTAATCTGAATTTTTAATAAATTAATTAAATAAACAGTATAATGAAAACACAGGTTTGATTTCAAATTAATAATTTTATATTGATTTCTAGTAAATACTCATTTTATCAACGTATAAGTTTTTTCTCTATGTAGAACAGACATGCAAATGGAAAAGTAGATCTCAAGTAGACATTATCAAGTAAAAAAAATCAAATATTTTTATATGATCGTATAAATTTATATTAGAGATTGAAAATAGTGGACAGATAATATAAACCAATTTTACATATATATCCTATCAAAATTATTATAATTGTTATGTCATATTAATTTTTTTAAAATAAAAATATATTTTAAATAAATACATGTTTTTCATCGGTAGATAATGTATTTTAATTATATATTTTTTATAGAAGAATATTTAGATATAATTTTATAGGTGTTGTTTATACTTTTTTTCAATAAATTATACACTTATCATATTTTCATTGGAAAAAAACACAAACTACAATTAAAGAAATACATCTAAATTTTTTTTTTTATATTATACTTAGATATACATTTTAAAAAATTATAATTAATTATAGATTTAAATATTATGTATTATAATCTTTATTTTAAAAGTTTAATGTATATAAAGTCACGGTCAGTGTAAAATAATTTAATATACAGTAAAATACTAGATAAAGTTTCAGCCGTAACGGATTCGCAATTATCCCGGCAATGACGTTTTCTACGCCTACTATCCATCCGTTTACTGCCAGGGAGACAAAAAGTAGCCCCGTTCCCTGCTGTTATTTTATTAATATATAACTAAATCTGAACCGTTCATCCTAATCATTACCCTCGTTAACATTTCTATACGATCACTCTCTTTTTAAGCTCCTTCTTCCACTCACTCATCTCAAAATACCAAAACCCAATAAATAAACAATGGGAGATCGTAAACGCTCTTCTCCAACAATAGTATCCATCAACGAAGCTTCGCTTTCCAAGAAAAGAAAAATCACTGCATCTTCTTCGCACTTTCATCACCAAACTATCTCGCCGGTAACTTCCGTGAATTCCGCTGCCACGGTGTCTTCCGACGAATTTTGCCCGGATCACGCTCAACTGCCTCGTTTCAGCTCCGACAAGGTTTTCGAAACGTGCGAAGTCGTTAAGGAACGCGACGCAACGTCGTTAGATCCAGAGGTTTGTCTCTCGGAATTCTGTTTTCTAATTATGAACTTTAGTTTTAGAGTTCTTCAGTTTTTTTGGATTCCAAATACGTCTTTCTCTATGCTTTCTTTAACTAACCTATTTAATTTTTTATTTGATGTAAATTTATTTTTTCAAATTTATAAATATTCGAGAATTATTAATGATATGATACTGCAGCTGAAAACAAAGGGTTTGGAGTCAAACGCAACGAAACGCAATTTGAAGTCGTTCAGGTTTTTATTCGACTTTCTCTCTCTCTCTCTCTCCATTTCACGTTCAATTCTCTAACAAAAGATTAATTGTGACTCACTCGTCAAATCTTACCTACAAATTTTTTCTATTTTCAGGGAGGAGGAGATCGATGAATTCTTTGCGAGGTTCGAGCGGGAGGAACAAAAACGATTTTCTGAAAAGTAAGTAAAAACAATTTTAATTTTAAAATTAATGGTGACACAGGATAAGGATAGTGATGACGAAGTAGTGGAAGAATTTCTTACCCTAACTAACTAACAAACTTTGGTTTTTTTTTTTTTGCAGGTACAACTTTGATATTGTTAGAGATATGCCGTTGGAGGGTCGTTACGAGTGGGTTCGTTTACATTGAGTATCATGAATGAGAGAGAGAGTGCGTGCGTTTTTAGTTTTAGAGTCAGAAAAAGTTATGGAGGGTGAATTAGGGGAGATGAGAGTTAGTGGTGCCCAGTGGAGACAGGTGACCAACCGGTATTAGGAAACTAACCTGACACAAGGGTAAGGGAAAATGACCGTGCAGTATACTCCTACTAGTAGTATTAAAGAAGACGGTGATGCAGTTGAATGATGGGTAGGATTTTGTACAGCTATATTAAACTATGTATATGTAACAGCTTAATTTCTTTTTAGGTTTGGTTTAACTAAAATAAATTTTACATTATTCATTGCTATTGGAAATTGAAATTATCAGGACTTACTGATACAATTGTTATTTTGTAGTAGTAATTTTATATGAAAACTGTCTTTTGTTGGAACTTCATTTTTGGTGCACGTTTCCTCTTTGGCTTTCTGCATCATGTATGGAATATCGAATACTCCTTTTTTCTATCCTTTATGCTTGCTACTTTGGAATATCCTCTCGATCCCAAGTTATGATGCTTCCAACTCAGTGTAGGGACCACTTATTCCTGTCAGTGTCACGTAGGAGTATATAAAATGGCTGCATAAACTAATTAACTTTTCCTTTTATTTTTTCTTTTTTCATTTTTTTTTTCTAGACTAATTGATAAAAAAATTCTAACAGATGAGTTTATAGCACAGATAATGAATAATAAATTAATTAATTAATGGTTAGATTACGTAAGAAATATGAAAAATATAAAAATAATTTGTTTAATTAATATTTATTAAATTTCAATTAAGCTATAAGAAATCCTAACTTTGTAAAAAAGATTTATCAGATAGATTTGTTTTTGTTATAAAAAGATAAGCTAATTTTGTCTCACTAAACAAATTTATAGTATTATAATCAATATTTTGCACACATCAAGATTAAATTTATATGTAATTACACTAAGTTAATCTTAGTGCATCTTGATAACAAATAAAATGAATATAAATTAATAGCAAAATTTTTGTATATGATTTATATGATAATTATTTTAAATTTAATTGTTTAATAATAATTCAATGGCTGAGTTGATTTAATTTAATTTTTAATGTAATAATGTTAACTTTGACTCTTGTGAACATATCCTAATTTAAATTAATTCTTAAGAGTTAATCCATTCAATAATACTAAATTAGATAAAAGGTAGGATTCATTGACAGCAGGCTAAGTCTAAAAGATTTAAATTAAATCTCAAATGTTAATGGTACTTGATCAAATTGTTAGAATAATAATGCAAGTATGAGTAAATTGGAAAATAGTCTCACGTTGAATATGAATGTGGAGACTTAAGCATATATAAGTGAGAGAACTCATTCACATATCACCTTAAGGTTTTAGGTGGATAAGTGGTGTGTCTCTCACAAAGTTGTCTAGTTTATACTATTTCCAGCAAATCTCTCAATTCTTAAAGGTGATAACTATGAGAATTGATGCAAACAGAAGAAGAGAAGGAATACAAAAAACTGAAGAAGAAGAATTATAAAGCTCTCTCTACAAAAGAAGCATGTGAGATTTTGAAGAAATCGAAGGACATGCCATCTTTGTCGAAGGAAGATCTTGAAAGGACATTTGAATCTCACGAACAAAGAATGGATGAAAGAGTTGTAGGTAAGTCGAAGAGTGACGTGACTTTGTAGGCTCAATCAGATAAAGATAAGAAAGGCAAAAGACCATATCAAAGCAACCAAATATGTGGTGTTGTAAATAGAGGAAGAGGTGGTGGTCGAAAACCTGACAAGAGTCACATTCAGTGTTTCAATTGTCAGAAGTATGGTCATTATTCGAGTGATTGTCCAGAAAAGTGGAAGAATCAAGAAAGTGATGTAAAGTTTGCAAAGTATGAAGAAAAGAAGATGGTGCTGATTGTTACAACAAGAGTCGAAGAAAAATTCAAGGATCAATGGTACTTGGATTCAAAATACTCATCACATATGTCTGGAAGGAAAAATTGGCTTGTCAACCTAAAACCCTTAATGAAGAACATGGTGAAATTTGCAAATGACAATGCCTAGCAGTTGAAGGTATTGGTGATGTTTCAATTGTCAGAAGTATGGTCATTATTCGAGTGATTGTCCAGAAAAGTGGAAGAATCAAGAAAGTGATGCAAAGTTTGCAAAGTATGAAGAAAAGAAGATGGTGCTGATTGTTACAACAAGAGTCGAAGAAAAATTCAAGGATCAATGGTACTTGGATTCAAAATACTCATCACATATGTCTGGAAGGAAAAATTGGCTTGTCAACCTAAAACCCTTAATGAAGAACATGGTGAAATTTGCAAATGACAATGCCTAGCAGCTGAAGGTATTGGTGATGTTATAATTATAAGGAAAGATGGCATGAGGTCAGTAAATTCTAATGTGTTGTACATACCAGGCATGAAGAGAAATTTTCTCAGTATAGGGAAGTTGGTCGAAAAGAATTACAAAGTGTCGATCGAAGAAAAGATGATAAGAGTCGTCGACGCAAATGGAAAGTTAATCTTAAAAGCTCCCATGTCTCAAAATAGAACTTTCAAGATTGAACTTAATGTGATGGAGGACAAGTGACTTTCGACTGTAGCTAGCAGAGATGAATGGATATGGCATTATTGACTAGGTCATCTCAACTTCAGAGACATTAGAGATTTGAAGTGAAGAAATATTGTTTAGGGTTGCTAGAAATTGACATTCCAAGCAAGGTGTGTGAGGAATATGTGAAGGCGAAGCAGCACAAGAATAGCTTCAACAAGGATGCATGAAGCAAGTCGAAGGCTATCCTCGAAGTCATATACTCTGATGTATGTGGAATAATTCAGGTGGATTCGTTTGGAGGTAACAAATACTTTGTTACATTCATAGATGATTTTAGTCGAAAACTATAGACTTACCTGATCAAGAAGAAAAGTGAAGTGATTGAGGTATTTTCCAAGTTTAAGTATATGGTCGAAAGACAAAGTGGTCAAAAGGTCAAAGTTTTGAGAATTGATGGTGGTGGAGAATATGTGTCGAAATACGTCAACAAGTTATGTGAGAAGGATGGGATTATGCATGAGGTGGTGCCACCCTACACTCCACATCAGAATGAAACTGCAGAAAGGAAGAATGGAACCATCATGAATATGGTGAGAAGTATGTTGAAAGGCAAGCATTTACCTAAAGAATTTTGGGGTGAAGCTGTGTCGACACTAACATATATTTTGAACAGATGTCCTACAAAGAAGCTAGAAGAAATTACTCTAGAAGAATGTTGGTCTGGTACGAAGCCTAGCTTGAGTCATCTGAAGGTATTTGGATATATTGCACATAGACATGTGCCAAATCAGTTGAGAAGAAAACTTGATGACAAGTCGAGTCAAATGATTCTAGTTGGATATCATTCGACAGAAGGTTACAAGTTGTTTAACCCAGTAAATAAGCAAATTATGATCATGTTTACCTCTGGTTTTGGTAAACAACGCAGGTCTCTTAACAAAATTTTACTTGTGAGATCGACCAGGGAATCTCAGTAAAGTGCTTCAGTTTTCAAGTTTTTTCAAAAAGAATTCGTTTGAATGGTGCCAAATGAGTTATAAGCAATAAAGCAAGACTTATAAAAAATGAAAAGCGTTTTAAATTGTAAAAAACATAAATGACAAAACATCAAAATAGTTGAAAATAACTTGATTCAAACATACATTGCCCTAGCTTGACTCATTTCGCTCGTTCGTTAAGGTACTTTTAGTGACTAGCGTAGAGGAATATGAAAGTTTGAACCTCTAACACTATGCACTAAGTGATTTATTTATAATATACATATAATAACTACTTTCTGGCGAGCTTCGTTTCTTTGTACGCCACATGTATTTTGCATCTTCTCTCTACGAACCGACGTTCTCTACTCAAACTCAATTTTCCCTCCAAAGCGCTTCGCTCGCTTGGTCTGGACTCTTTGGCCTTTTTTATGTTTCCAGGCCCAATTAACTACTTAAGGGGTCTCTTCTGGTCAGTTGCAGATGTAGTCGACTTAGATAATTTCACCTTTTCAAAGAACCTTCTTGGATTCTTTTCTCTTAGTTGTATTTTAGTCCTTGTCGAAAATCCCAGCCAACAAATTGCCCCCAAAAATGTCCTTTTCGATTAAAACTATAGAAATGGACATTTTAGTCCTTCTTTCTTAGTGCGAACTGACGTCATCATAATCATGACTTTCCCCTCAAACGTCACGTCTGCAAACAAACAACCACTTCCCTACTTTTTAGCTTCAATTTCCTAGGATAAACGTGCCCCCAACTCAACAACTTCCTCAATCAATCGCCATCAGCTTGACACGTGCTTGTCATGTAACCACAATTTTCCCACTTAAACTCAGACTCCTTGCCCAGTTTTAACAAAGGAGAAAACGCCAGAGTTTTCCCACTCATGTTTGACACGAATCATCTCAGGAAATTAATCTCCCCTAACAGAGATTGAAGCTCTTTCTTCGTTGTTGGCGCTTTTGTACTTAAAATCGCCTTGGTTTTATTCTGGTTGATTTCTATACCCTTATTATGTACCATAAAACCTAGAAAATCTCCTGGAAGTCCTGATGAATTTGCTCTTCAACAAATGTTCGATCTCTGTTTTTATTTTGGACAACACTTCTGGCGCAAACTTCCTTGGCATTTGTTTAACTTGTTGTTTTCCTGGATTTATAGGTAGTCTAATTTCCACCATCTCCCTGCTCAAACTAGGAATTTTGTTGTAATCCCATGCAAAGCAATCTTTAAATTCTTTAAGCAGTTTGACCACTTGATTCTTCATCTTGCTGTCGACCTTGGTTCTGATGTATGTATTTTGCTTAGTCGTGCCATCACCCAGGTCGACTTCTTCCAACGGATCTTATGATTTCATATTTAGTATATTATCTCTTGGGTCTTTCTCAAATCCCAAAGGATTTTCCTCATATGTGCAGTCAAGCCTATGTCTTTTTGAAGTTGTTATTTGGCTTGGTTCTCTAAGCTTTTC